CCTTACTATTGAGACTGTATGTAGATAAATCTTTTAAGGTTTGGATTATAATTAGCAAAATAATTTTATGTATACATTTTCCACTATTTTTGTAATTTCGTAACACTATTCCATTGTAGTTTGTTAACAAATATGTTTGTTTGTTTGAAATTAAGCACAAAGCTACACGATGGGCTATCTGTACTCTGCTCATCACGGGTATTGAAACCCGTGATTCTAGCGTTATAAGTCTGCAGACATACCACTGGGGAGCACTTCTGTGTGTGTGGCACAAATCTGACAAATTTCGTATTTGCAGCTGAAGACAAAGAGTACACAAAAATAAAATGTTGTTTCTACAGCAATTTTGCCACTAAGCAAAGATGATAGATGACCTAACCAAGTAGTCCATTGAGTTAAGTTATTGAGTAGCAATTCCAAGTTACTGTTGCTATTTATGGTTACTGTTAGAAAAGTGATTTATTTTAATGAATTACAATGGCCATTTTAAGTGTTACAGTTTCAAATTGTGAAAATGTATAGAAAAAGTAACATCTTTTTTCTACCTTTCCCCCCCCAGCACGACACTAGATTAAAACTGAAGTCAACTGTTGCAAGATAGTTTGGAAAAGTAAGATGCATTCACCTTGTAATGATTTCATTACTTAATTCATTATGCCTTAATAAAAACAACAAAAAACTTCAGGAATTTTATGTAATAAGCAGATTTGAGGAAATTTAGATTTTGTTCAAAGTTTATTATATTTGTCTATAAGAAAATATACACATTTTATTTCCAAAGTAATTACTTACAAAAAAATTAACAGGTATAAGTGAACAGGGTTTTGTATGTTCTTCAGTTTAACAAATGACCAAATGAGTTTTTAGCATTTAGAATCCCATTTTTTTTTTCTCCATCTGTTTAAAGTTGGTTTTGGCCATAAAATAGTGATTTCCGTGACTTGATTAAGTTAAACAAACATAGAGTTGGGTTCATTTTTTTTTTTTAAATTAAGCATTCATGCAGAGTTAGGTTCAATATTATTTACTTTGTATGTATGCCCAATTTATGATAGAATATATGTATGGTCTACCTAATACACTGTGAAAAAATTCAGGATGTTGTAATAATCAATACATTGCACATACAGGACCTATATATGGCATACATAACAATAAGCACTTAAAGAAATCACTCATAATACATTACCAAACACCAGCTGTGAATTATCAAATGAAATATACACTTACGCACCCAACACATTTCTTTAACATATGAAATATCTTTGTTCACTAAGTAATAAAATATTAGAAGATCTCTGGTTTAGAAGTTTCCTTGTGCCTTTAAGTACATTTGATGACATCAACAAAGTGGAAGCTATTACAAGTTATACAGATAATTTTATGGAAACTAGGAGTCATTGTTTACAAACTACTTCTAAATGAAACCATTAATCTTTATCCTTATCTTGTGTATGCTGAGAATGAAATTTTACAGAATAAAACTAAAGATATTTTTTATAACACTTATGTTTGGCAACAAAGCGATCACATTTGATGTTTAACGATAAAATCTATGATCACATCGAGGAAATGTCTATGGATTCCACCCTTGTTCCTGACCCTCCTAACTTTTTCTGGATTTTCATGAATAAGTTTGGTTACAAGCCTGTCCTGAACATTATAAGCCTGTGTACTACACAAAATTTGTTGATGACACTTGGCGTTTAACAATGTTAAGTCAGTTAATGAATTTTTAATTTTTATATGGTATACATCCTAATGTAAAGTTTAATATTGAAAATCAACAGAATGACAAACTGGTTTTTAGATGTTCATGCCTTAACCCTTTCCAGACAGGTCACAGGTGAAATGCTATGTCATCGTTTGTTGACTCACATTCAAAATTTTATGGAACTACTATTTCATGAATTTATGTCAATAACTTTGGTATCAAACTGTAGATTATAATTAAAATTTTAGTATTAGAACTTACTCAATTTCTTAATTTAAAAGTAAATATTAAAAAATTACAGTTAAACATCGATTTTTGTGTCATATGGTATGTTGAATGCAGCACTGGTTCAAATTAGATATTTGTGATGTGAAAATACTAAGACCATAGTTTTGTATGAATTAGGAACTCAAATTACCAATACTGACAAGCTAGAATATAAAATAAAAGCCTCTTATCTTTTCAATTTGTGAAGATATTGCTTATGTAATAAATCAAACACAGTGACAACCCACCCACCTCTTTCCATTTTTGGAAATGCTCCCTTATGTACACTTACTTCTATATACAACATGAATAACCAATCAGAATCTCAGAATGTCCCCCTAGTGGCTTTCTCAGCCATTTTAACATCTTTAGACACCATCTCTTTCTTTAGAATCAAGATTTCAATGAGGTAGGGTGTGTCTTTAGTCTCCTCAAAATTTCATTTTTTTTTTT